AAACAAACTACGTGGTGACTTCATATACAGTTTTACAAAAATTGACTAGCCATATATCCTCAGAATTGGTGTCTTTAAACACCCAAATTGTTATTTATGTACTTGAAGTCCCTCCTTCCAAGGAGAACCCTCCATATTGAGATGAAACCACGTATCTCCCTGATTCTCCCCAACAAAGTGACGCTATTTAAGAAATCTAAGCATATTTGTAATCACGCTATGACGTGATGGAAATTTACCGTGAAGGTCTGAAATAAAACAGCCAATGACACAAGTGTAAAACATCACATGACATAACTGAGGTCCTTTTAATTCCGGTTTTTACACCGATGCTATCAATAACACACAATACCACGAAGCATATAAAATCGGTCACATGACATCAATCACGCGATAAAGTAAAATTCATGACAGGTAGGTACATATGTAGGTCTAGTTTTTGCATGGTAGTTTTGACAATAGAGCTTATGGTATTTCGATCAAACAATCCGCTCACCTGTCTATTGTTCTAACGTCACCAGCTTGAAGAGGGTAATTCCGATCAAGTTACAATGTCTGAATGTGTGTGTGTGTGTGTGTGTGTGTGTTGTGGGGTTATTCGCTATTAAGTGACATACATGTGCGAGTTTTAAATCTGAATTGGAACGGAAGAATCTTCAGAAGATAAATAGAGTTATCAATATCCTCTATCAGGAACTTATGGTGCTCTCTGATCAAAATTACTTTGTTAGCACCAGTCAGCCTTTTTTTAAATTTTTAATTTGATAGTCATTTGTAGCATACATGTTGTAATTTAATTAAAATGGCTCCCTTGAAAATACAGCAAAGATCACTTAGACAAACATAAAAACAAACTCCACAATATCGTTCTATTAGAAAACTTTCAAAATTGATTGTGGCAGACAATAACTAAAGATCTCATGTCTTATATATGCATATTAAGGTGGGAGTAAGTACTAGTGTGTTCCATATGAGTTTTGTCAGTGCGATGCCACGAATTTGTATGTGAAAAACGAACAATAACGTTGGACCAACTTTTGCAAAATCACATAAAAACTGAATGTAATTAACACACACAGGTGACTGTACCTTTAACGTTTGGTAAACGATACAGTATGTCATTAATATACAGCTGTTTCATCATTCTAGGACTAATCGGTGATGCAATATATAGGGGCCAAAATGTCGGAAATCCATATTGGTATAAACTACTGTTGAAAAGGACGGAGAGGTGTGCTATAGTCTGTTCGTGTACAAGCGTCTCTCGATAAATTGAAGAACATTATTAGTCAACATAATTGCACTTTTCAACTAATCGTTAATAGGATTTAATCGTAAGCAAAATGAAAACACGTCCATACGGGAAAGAACAGTATAACGTAACTTACGCATTATGACTATTGCCTGCAAGAGGTGATGGCCATTAGATAACAGTAATAGTATTAAATTTCGTTTGCCAATCAAAAATCGAGTGGTCAAACTGGACCATGAATATAGGAACAGTAAGAAAACAAAACTGTCTGTGTAGACAACACGTACATTGATTAAATCAAATACTGTTTTTGACGATATGTCCCTTTAAACATTGTTCTGATGTTCGAATTTAAGCGTTGCAAAATTGACATTTGTATTGGTAGGTTGTGTTGAAAATGTGATTATTTGCATCTTATATGTTTACCATGCCATATCTAAACTTAA